ATCATGTTGGTTTTGATAGATAAAGTCATGTTGATTTTCCGGAACAATCTTAAAATCAAAAATACCTCTGAGGACGTGCTCTTAAGGGTTTTTCGAATAATTTACAGAAAAGGGAGGTAACGCCGACAGGACGGTAATAACTTGGATCCAAGGGTGGATCCTTCTTCAAAATAAGAGTGCCAGTGGAATGCTTCCATCTAAAAGGTACCTCACCCTAAATCACTGATTGTATATATGTAAGCTGAAGGCCCACTTATGATAGATGCTACTCTCTTGATGAAAAAGAGTCGGATGAAGTCCGGAGTTCATGAGGAGGATCTTCCGCTCATGGAGCTGTTCCGGATTGAACTTGTCATGAAGGGAAAGGAAGCTGTGGCGAACTCTATAATCCTTCCATCTTCCTCAAGAAAAGATTTTGCAAAATGGTCTGCGAATAATCGGCCTTATCGTACGGGTGGTATGCACAACATCACCAACTTCCAGACAACCAATATTAGTCTTGTCGTTAAGTTTCTGTTTTAAATACTCGAAAAAGGTATGACTGCATTTTGATCCTACAACTTGTTTTGCTCAATGTTACTGTTATATTTTCTGAAATCGGAAGAAAAGATTCATTGAATCCCTTTTTCCGACCAAATACCGGTTCGCCCAGCATCTAAGAAAAGACAGTCTCGATGCTCGATCATGCTTTGCAAATACTTTAGAAGCTCTACTGATTGAGTGGCGACACAAGCTCCCACGAGACGTAGAAATGAATAGTTGCACGCAGAGTAGCCGAAACAATTCCTATTCTTCATTGACAGCACTCCTTGTTTCTAGAAGATAAACCCACCTGATTTGGGCAAGATTTACGCACAGATCTCCAAAATTACAATCTGAGTATGACCTGCAATAAACTGGCGGAGCAGGGGCTTCACAACAGTTGAGTTCGAAACCAACACTTTGCACGGCTGGAGGCAGAATCTTTAAATCACAAACAAGACTTTCATTGGTTCTGGAAGCCAAGTCAAGAATATTCCTTTCTCTAGTTGGATTGAGAAAATACTGCCTCAAATTATGGGTACATATAAATTGCTGTAAAAACAGTAATATAGTCCTAGTTGCTTCATGCACTCCATCCTGAACAAACCCTGGCACTATGAAATATCCAGCTACTAAACAGTGGAGCTCACACGCAATCAAAAGAGCTTTCACAAGCTGCTCGGTATGAGCCATAACAGCCGAAGCCCTGTATACAACAATGACTCGAATACTAGATAGCTAGATATGTCATGAAAAATATCGGCACATAGCATCTCGTAAGCATCGATTACCGATTCCTTGAAAACTATAGTGATACGGGAAGCCTAGCATGCGACAATAAGATGTTTCCTCCGCTTGCCTTTTTTGTACGGTCATACCTAAAAATGTCATAATCGTTACAAAAAGAGCTCAAAATACACGCCATGTTATGGCTGAGTATGAGCCACGTCTCCGTAAACGCATATATATATTGATTTCATCAGTTAAAACTGTATCAATGTAGCCAGAGTTTTTCGAGATTGATCTGACATTTGAGTAAAGACCCTAGAAGATATTCTTCAAAACCGCGGAATCCGCGTCAGTTTTCCTTGTTAACAACATTCAAATTGAGAGCACTAGGAGTTGGAGTCCTAGTATTCCAGGGAGCAGAAGCCATCCCTGCTTAGGGAGTGTGCGGCACCCCTTCGTTAACACTCTGCCGCACTAGTAGAACTAGACTAAGGCAGACCACACACAATAATCAAACGTAGTCTCTCAACTTCAGAGTACGACATATTCTGTTCAGAGTTAGCTGCGTTAACAGTAACACCGCGAATACTTTGACAAGGACAAGAGCTCGAACGAACAGTCTCAGTCCCTACATCAGCAGTCCGACTACTTTTTTCACAAACCTCTCTAACTTTCTGCTCAAGGTTGGATTCTTTGGGCGAAGTAAGGTCAAACCAGTCATGATGGCTGATATGACCTTTTTCACTGGACCTGCAACCCGCCTGAATTTTGCTATTACATCGACTTTCCCACGCAGGTCCGTCCAAGTATAAGTCTCGCCTTCGCAAAGAACAACTTGCATAGGTGAGCCCATTGCTGCGTCCACGACAAAATCGCACCGCAACGTGGAATAGCTCAAGAAAAATCAATCCAGAACACTCGCTGTAGTAACACGGAATCGTAGGAAACGTGTAACTATAGACGTGGCAAACTTTGAAGAACAGAAATAGGCAGATTAGGTGCCACACTGAGCAACGCAGTGAACAGAATTCTTCTAAAAAAACGGATAGGAAATGAAGGAAGGAGGGACAGGGGTCAGGAATTAATGACAGATCGGTCGGTCGGTTCTATGACTAACGGGTTCCGGCAAGTTTGGAATGGCTGCTTTCATAGACCTCCGGCAGGCCGGCCTGCGTGCGAGCCGGGGCAGTGCTAGGGGGGAGGAGGGAGGCAGACAGTCGGCCAGCCCCTTCGAAGGGCTGTAAACAACGAGAGACAAGATCAAAGACCATTTGTTCAAGCCCTTGGTTGTTTGGTCTTCGATCTTGTTCTTCTTTGTTTTCAACCCCTCGACTGACCGTCTGCCTCCCTCCTCCCCCCTAGCACTGCCTCGGCTCGTACGCCGGCCAGCCGGCCGGCCGGCCGGCCGACTATGAAAGCAGCCAATGAGATGTTATCTTTTGATCTGAACAATAAAGGTAGTTGAACATGTATTCACAAACCGCATCTCGATTTGACTGGCTTGTTGTGAGCAGAGAAACTTTCCATGGGGATGAATTCCAGCTTCAAAAAGTTTCTGATTCAGGACTATATAACTTTTGTATAGCTATCCTTCTTTTAGGGGTAATATTGAGAACTGAATGACTGGAGATCGAAAATGCTGTAAAGCATCAATATTGGCTCAACAAAAGTCAAGTAGCTGCCTGAAAACTCTTTTATTGAAAGTGAACAAGCTCTTCTTCTAAAAAAGGCTTTGGCAGAAACTGAGCCAAGGCATATTTATTTGATTATTCAGTCACTCAGGGCCCAAGCTACAGACAGACAGGCGGAGAAATATAGCAAAGCCGCAGTCAGTTCTCAGCAACGTTACATATGTAAGGCAAAATTCGAGTGAGCTTGCTTAGGGGACTCAATAATGGCTCAAAACCCGCTACCACAAAAGACTTCTGAAAAACGGAGGTTCAGGCGTTGGTTGAGGCATGAGCCGTTTGAAATGGAGCACGTTTCTTTTCACTGCAGTCAGCTACAGTAGCGCTCAAAAGTCTTCGGTGAAATGATTCTTCAGCCGTACTTTGCGAAATTTCTATATTAGGAGCGTGGGTTTATTGTGAATATTTACCACTATTAACCTGCAATCTGATCATGTTCCAGATGTTCCAAAGGGCATGAAAATAAAATCGACCAAAAATTCAGATGATGGTCCTTCCAGAAACTGTTTCCTTTTTTATCATGTCTAAAGTGTACGAGCGGTAGCGACGAACACAATAGATGGAAAAAAGCACGTAAGGTGCGAATAAGTGCAAACGTCAACAACTTTACTTTTAGCAAAATCTGCTACCGCAAAAAACACCTTGCTCCATCTGTTGATGTTGCAGCTTTGCAGTCAAATAGTGTTGGGTAGGGTGAATTATGCTCTAGTTAAACGTATCCGAATTTCGCGCGATTTGGTTTACTAAGAAAAAAGTTATGAACGAAAAAGCGTTAAAGCATTTCACCGAAGACTTTTGAGCGCTACTGTAGTATATGCTAATAGCTATCAACTGAGACCTCGTCATAACTTCGCCCAAATTTAGAAGAAATTGAACAGAAGAACAGAAGAGGTCTCGTACTCGGGGGTTCTTTAGCGCATTCACGCCGATGGCAGCCCATATAGGCTGCTAACAGCGAGTGCTCCGGGGACGGTGGCAGCCCATATGGGCTGCCAGGTAAAAACTGCCTGTAGTTGCGTTATATCATGATCTTTTGGATTATTCTCGAAACCAATGAAATAGTCAAGGGTTAGCCTACACCCAATCCCCGTCGGCAAGAAAAACGTTAGAAAGTAACAGTTTTATCCAAACAATAAACATTTTATCCAAACAATAAACAACCACAGTTTTTTCGTCTTCACTTCATAAATCAATTAGAGAGGAGTACTCCAGGAGCTATGAGCACCGTTGAACTCAGCTTGACGAGCTCTATAAGCTGATACCTTAGAGGGTTGATAGTGCTTCGTTTGGATTGCGCCATGCACTTGAGTTCCATCCGAAAATTAATTGCATACTTTGGTGTTTGTAGTGGCTGATTGGCCCCTTAGGATGAAGTGTTCAAGAATTCGCTTTGGAGTGCGCCGCGTACTCGACTTTACTCAATACATTGAGAACATCATTGATTGATTTTATTCAGTCCCCATCGTTCCTTTCTAATGTGGAGACTGTAGATAACCGCATCTACAGTTTCTGCACTCAACACTCCTCCTTACAGGTTCCATTGAGAATATGACACCATTTTACGGCAAAATACTCAATTCGATTTATTTGACATTTTCCGAACTTTGAAGGAATTTTTCTTCAAGTTCTGAGGAGGAGGCGTTGAGGCACTGTACTATCATAAACAACTCTTTGTTTTCTACAAGACTGGTATGGTACACCTTATCATTAGATCAAAATTTCTCCCTTGGCGCCAGTTTCCGAACTTCGTCAGGCTTAAATCATAAGGTTATGTTTTCCTCCCTTTTCTTGGCTTTTTTGCAGATGAGTTGCACAGTGTTAGATTCCCTGTGAAAACTGCTATCGAATGATATATGGGTCAGCCCGTGAAGAAATCCCCCCTTCATAACCATTTCCTGCCTATGCCACTCTAGGACGGTGGCAGCCCATACTGGCTACCACGGCCAGTTCACTGCAGCGAAAAAGGCGCCCGTCCGTGAGGGACGCATTCACAAAACGAAACGCGTTCACGATCCCCGTCGCCAAGGAGAACGTCAAAAGGTAACCACTTTATTCCAACAATTAACAACGGCAGTTTCTGAAACCTATCAAACGAACAAAGGTAGCAGCCATGACAGTTTTTCCGCTCACGCTTTCCAACGGGTTGTCGACCATTTCAAGTGTCTTCTTTTGACAGCGGCTTGAACCTTTTTTGCCGGTACCTTCTCCACAATGTCTTCCTTGAACTGCAAAAAACGAATTTTTTAAATTTTTTTTTCACAGTACAATACCCATGCATTCACCACAGAAGTTTGCAAAACAAGGTGGTAAAAGATGCGCGCGTACCACTTCGAACTCCTCCTAATAAATGGTAGTAGGAGTTCTACAAGACCAGCCATCCTTATCCGATACTCGTCCTTCTGGTGCTTTTTCATCGGATTCATCCACATCATTGACAAGGAGTACACGTCGTAGTCCACAGCAGAACCTTCCATGTCCTCGTTGCTGTCGAGCAATAACGCGTTGAAACTTCGGCTCAGCTCGTCGTCGTCCATGTTTGCGGTCACGTGTTTTCCTTCACTAATGCTGAAAAGCGGTTGCAATTAAATGGAAACCCCTGGCAAAAGAAAGAACCCACGAAAAATTCGATCCAACAAAAGACTTACGCGTAGCATGCAGGTGGCACCAGTTCATTCAGTTGCTCTAGAATTTCTTGAGATCGATACTCCTGTAAAGAAATATAGGATGAAAAGTGGTTCAGTTTAGAAATCTTCATAAGCCTATTCCAGTTAAAAATCCGAAACATTCCGCTCAGCAAACAGTACATTGAACAATCCATTAGGATCCTAGGCTTTTCAATACACAAAATCATGAATTACAAAAGCAGACCACTGACGTTCTCGAGAAAAAGGATGCAAGGCCTTTCTACTTTACGATTCAGGGTCACCGACGAAATGTAATACATATAAGCCCAACCTCTCTTCCTCCCCCTGAGTAAGCGGATGCGGGCATAAGAGAGATATTGTTTCATGTAAAACAAGTAAGTTTATAATAGTGATATTGTTTCATGTAAAACAGATGAATATCTTCAGTACCTGTACGAAGCCCGCTGTATCCACAATAGCTATAGTAATACTGATAGTGTCGTCAAAATGTCGCATAAGAGATAAGATGATTTTAAATGTAGCAGCAGAACGTAACATATGGACACAGTGCCAGAAAAAAATTAGCTAACAATAAGTATTTCAAAATGAGCATAATGTTGAAAAAAGTAAAAAAGCGCGCAAAAACTGAAAGCCTGGAAGAATACTTACCAAAATTCATGGTTGGAAGTCTTTCCTGCGATCAACGTTGCAACCTCATTTGAATTTGACGATAGTGTAGGCGCCTTCGTTGAACTTTCACCGGCACTAGAGGTTTAATAACCAAAATGAAACCTATTAGCTAACAACAAGTATTTCAAAGTAAGCATGATGTTGGAAAAAGTAAAAAAGCGCGCAAAAACTGAAAGCCGGAAAGAATACTTACCAAAAACTTACAAGCGGAAGCATTCACTGCGATCAACTTTCCAATCATGATATCATCATTTGAATTCGACGATAGTGTAGGGCCTTTGTTGAACGTTTCAACTGCAATGAAGGTTTAATAACAAAAATGAAACAAATTAGCTGCCAATAAGGATTCCAAAGTAAGCATAATGTTGAAAAAAGTAAAAAAAAAACGCGCAAAAACTGAAAGCCGGAGAAAAGCGGGTCCTGTGGGACGGTGGCAGCCCATGGCCTACGGACTACTTGAACTCGGTTCCTTTAAGTTTGCCGGATGCGTCATTTTTCGTCTGGCGCTCTCCTGTTCGATGCAGTCTTTAAGTGTTGTGCTCGCCTGTCTAATGGGACCCCCACCACCACCGCCGTAGGCTTCACCCAGGGTGTTTTTCTCTGCGCTCTAGCCTCTTGCCGTTAGAGACGCAGAGAAAGTTCAAGTAGTCACGTAACCGGCAGCCCATATGGGCTGCCACGGCCAGTGCACCGAAAAAGGCGCCCGTCCGTGGGGGACGCATTGGCGAAACACGCGCTCGTCGCGAATATGTTAGATTGTCTCTCTTCTCAACTCCTATTATGTCTGCATCAAAGCTTCCGCCCGAGTGCGCTTCGTCCCGTGCGTCCGTTGACTAGATCACGCCGCAGCCGTCGTACGCAACTCGTCAGGCTGCGATTTTTGACAGACGTCGCAGTTGCAGTGGGGCATACGACTGGCGCTTGGTGCACGGCAGTCAGCCTGATGAGAAGAGAACACGGACTAATTCAAATCGCTTGCTTCACTGACATTGAGTTGTACTGTAACGTCATCTCGGGCCGTAAGCATAACGCATAGGGTTGGGAAGGGAGAGTCACCCCAAGGAGATGTTAGTTTTGTCCCCAGATAAGTGACGCTGGAGCAAAGTATCTTACGCCTCCAGTGCCGCAAAGCAGTGCTAGACTGGTATCCGAAGTTCGTGTTTTTTGATTGTATGAACCGAAATTCGGAGAAAGTGTGGATTCTTGCCCCAGAAAAACATTCTTACAATGTGGAGGGAAGCTACATCCTAAGAAGGCTCAAGGAAGTAGCGGATGGTTAGTATGTTCTGCGAGGTACACTTGAAGTCTTGTGGGAATTTGGAACCGGAAACACCTTAGTTCAAAGTAATCTTAGTTAGATGCGAATGTTGAATATCCACACAATGCTCCCATGTCGTAATTGTTTCACGATCAAATAAAGAGGACTATAGGAAAGTGGAGCGTTTAGAAAGAAAACCTGAACAATCCAAATCTGTATAACATATACGATATGTAACTGGTGTTGTTGTTGCTTGTTTCAAAATATTCATCAAATAGCATTCGGCGGAAGAGTTGGGCTATCTCACTCGTTTTACAAGATTTCCGAGATAAGAAGAGGTTGCTAGAACTATATCATCGTCGAAGCCATTTACGATTACTCGTTCGATACTTGCCATTTCCTCCGCCCTACAACCTTTACATTTCTGCGCCACCCTCACACCTCGAGAATCCTGCACATACGCAACCTTCCCTAATGTACATACCCCAGCACAGCAGCCCTCGGCTTCATATCTCTGAAAATTTATTTCTCGTCAAGAGCGTTGTACAATCTGGTACTCTATACTTCTCTCCACGTCAGCGCATCGAAACATGGCCTGTCGCTGTTCGTATTTCAACCAACGATATACATATAATTCTTGTCGCTAGAATTTCTCACTGTTGCTATGAATACATCTTCAACTATTCACCTTTCTCGGCTTATGAAAGGTGTGGATAGCATAGCAAATACATGATCTATGCGGGAACCCGGAAAAAAAATGAGTCAGCTGCACAGGCCAGTGACCTCAATCTAATATGATATGCATTTTTGCAGCGATGCTATTTTTTGCCGCAGTTCGCGATCAGATGTATTTTCATTGTATGTATGGTGCGATAGTGTCTTCGCAGCTGTGCGTCCAGGAGGTGTTTCTCGGGTATTCAAATAATTCTTTCCGTTTTAGGGTGTATGCATTTTAGAAAATATTTCATAAAAAATAACAGATGGTATGATGCATTGAAAAACGTAGTCGTGCATTTCTTCCACCACTAACAAGTATTCTATGTGCCGTAATCTTCAGGGCCCCTACGAAGTGATCAAGCTCGAATCATTCATGCAGGTTATTGAAAATTTTTGCTATTGCTGCAGTAATGCCAAAAACTATAAAGCCGTGCTCTCCTCTGGTAGGAATGAAAGATTTGGTGTCTCATTCACCAGTTGACAAACAGCCCTGCGATTTGTGAAGGGTTCATCAAATCATGGTCACTCTTTTTGACGCAACTCATAGCGCTCATTCAGTAGGGCTCGTATCTGTTATGCCCTAGACGAGGCCTTCGAACTAGCTCCTAAATTAGGTAGTGCACAGCCCCGAGTGTATTACCGTTTCGAAGCTTTAAGGCACTGAAACACTAGAAAACAGCTGCCACAACACAGCATGTATGTATATGATTATTGAAATCTATTATATTTATGTTTTACACGAAATATACTCAAAACTTCTTTGTGGATAATGTACTTACATAAAACGCTGCTTTGAAGTTTATCCTTTGGACCGAACCCATTTAATAATTCTGGATAGCAATCACGTATTTCTTCGTGAGAATACATACTTCATAATCTATAATTGGTGCACGAAGATTAAGCAATCGTAACAGCGAATAAGAATTGTATGAAGTAACTGACGAAACGAGTGAAAAATAGCAACAAATTGATGTGAGGGATGAGGGACGCCTCCAATGGTTTAGAAACATCAGTTACAAAGGTTGTTTATTATTTCCGGAGTTTCCTATTCCGAATGAAATGTGTCCTATGGAAAACTCAGAGTATGCATGCAAGGAAATAAGATGTATGACTCTATGTCATAGTATCAGAAGTGGTATATGAATTCTGAAGCTTACGCGATCAGTAGAATGAGTGTTGGATAATTACATATTTCTTCTGCTTCATCGCTTCATTCTTTTTTAACTTGCTATTCTGTTGTCGAGATTTTGAAGTGAAATGACTAATCAAGAAACATATTGAACGTTAATTCTCAATTATGGGACTGTTTCCTTTCTAAACGCTCTTTCCGGTTCCTGATTTTCTTGCAGCAGGGAAGTATGTCGAAAAGTCGGCAAGCCTGGGTTTTAGATGTTAGCAGAATCAAAGATCTTGAGAGGGTTCACTTGGGTGAATGACGAAACGAAGATGGCTATCAAACTGGTGAGCCTGTCGATTAGTGGGGCGAAAGAAGAAAGCTCTGTTAAAAACTCTACTGATTCTCGGTGATATTCCGTAAAGAAGACTGACATGCTGCAAAAATTGAAGTATTGCTGAGGAGGCTTCTTATAATTTTAGGAAATGAAACGCAAAGCATCCTGCATCCTTACCCTACGAACGGAATAGGGAGGTCATTAGTGGTTGAATGGAAAAGTTTCGTAGAGGTCCGGAAGAAAATTTGAAGGTGTTTTCAGTGAAAATATAGTAGTTAAATAAAAGCAGAGAAGTGTTTCATAATGACATAGCAGAATGTCGAACTTTGAAGTCGAACCTATAGTGGTCATTGATGAAGAACACAACATTCTGGATTCTGCAAGCAAACTTTGATAGAGGAAAAAATTAGCTCATCTATGGTAACAGGGAGTTTGTTGCCATAATGCATCTCTAACGAAGGAAAGGCATGGTCGGTTCAACTAGTATTAGATTATGGGATGCGTTTTCCGGGCTAGATCATTGAGAACAATTTGGCTAACGGTACATCAAAGTAGATCAGAAGTCACCGTCGACTGGTCATTTTTGATAAAGCATCCAGTGGTCATGAAAGTACAGGTGAGTTTAATGATTGGATGACCCAACGCAGTAGATGGTAACTCATTGCAGAAGAGATGCAACAGCCGATAGTAATTCTTCCTTTTCTTCTTCATCATCATCATCTTCTTCTTTTTCTTCTTTTTCTTCCTCTTCTTCTTCGTAGTCATCATTATCTTCGTCTATTTCTAATCTTTTTATTTTTTTCTTTTTCTTATTTTTATTCCTTTTATTTTTTCATTCTTCTTATTCTTTTTGTGATGTTTACTTTTTTGATCTTTTTGTTTTTTTATTCTTTTCATTCTATTTACTAATTTACTCTTCTTATACTTTTAATTATTTTTATTTTTTTAGTCTTTTATTCTTTTTATTACTTCTATTCCTTTAATTCTTCTTTTTTTATCGTTTTTATTTTTTACTCTTTCTATTTTTTCTTTTCATTCTTATTATTGGATAAATATTCCAGAGAGGTTCCTAGTGCTCATTGCATCTGATTCTTTGGATTCGTGTAGAGAAGGCGCACCCACTCGATGAACACTTCGGGGAATTCGTGGTGTCGCAAGCGAGGTGCGCTGCTCTTCGTTTTTCACGAAGCTTCTTGGTAATAGACGATAGGGATCTACAGGAGGCAAGGGCCAAGGTAGGAGTAGATGGGCATGTTCTACTGTTTATGCATTGTCAGAGTAGGCCTGCAATCATTTTACTTCTCATCTGCGAATTTTTTGATGTAGCGGCTTGGCGATGAGGGCTTTACCTAGCCGATAAATGAACCACTCTGACCTCACTCTAATGAAGTTTTTTGTAGTGACCAATAATCCTTTGCTCAGTTCTTCGTTTTCCGGCAGTTTTGCCACTTATCAGTTGATATACTGAGGAGAACTACATAATTGAGGCTCTTCTTGCGCAACTTTTCTCTGACACTATCCGTCCACAGCCACGCTTATTAGTCAGTTCTCCGTTGATGTGCTTTTTTCATCTAGATTAGAGCAACAACAGCCCGTTAATGTTTTGAGCACTTTCCAAGCTGCTTCGACATGTAAATCAGTTATCGAAACTGTGTGACGATCATGTCATACGACGAAATTTTCATATCACAAAGTCTGTTCGAGTTGTGGTTTTGCCGATGTAGAAAGTGATGGGAAGAGAATCGATTTCCCGAAAGTTCAACTCGTTATGGCGAGCTTATGGGATTGATAGTATTCAAAGATTAGCTCAAATTCAGCGTTACATGACACAGACATAAACACGAACCACCTTCCGGAGTGCCAATGTGTATATTAAGGTCACCTGAAACGGCAATAGTTCCCTGTATTGGCACTTCAACAGTCCTCTCATCGAGCAGGGTCGAGAATTCTTCCTTCATTCGCTCAGAGCCGTCAGTCTACTGAGCGCATGCCAAGAAAGTGTGACATGGTTGGCGGTCTCCATCAGACGGTCACTGAACGTTCGACGTTCGCTATTCATAGCCGAGGGATGTATTTTTAGCCTTAACTTTGATCGGGAGACGGGCGTTAGGAACGATTTTGGGTAATCGATTTGCCGCACGCGGCTGTCGCGGAATACTCATTCGCCGTCACTACAGTTCTAGCGTTCTTCATACAGCTCAATCGATATGTGATCATTATTTTATGCATAATTCTACTATTAGTACTTTTGTTCTTGTATTTTTAACCTACTGCTGCATCCTGCTACATTCCTTCGCGCGCGACGCTCCTCTCATCGCGACGCGACCATTTCGTTCCTAACGCACCACACCCGCTTTGAACGACTGATTGTGAGTGTTTATTCTCTTCCCATCCCGACTTCTTGTGCGAGATGATTGTCTCACCCACGATAGGGTTCCTTCCTTTCCAAGGCTTAGGCTTCCTGTGGTGGGGCTTAAAAAGCTAAGAAACGTTTTTAAGCACCAGCACAGGCGCACAAAGCCGATTATCCCATTTCTGTGCTCTGGCGCTCAGTATTAGACACGAAGGGCATCAGACCCGCATTCCCTAGCTCCACTTCCACCGACGTCAGTAACCGTTCGAATGTGGCAGTAGCGCTTGTAGGTCGGGCTGTCACAAAAGCATGTCATCTGCTATACAGTGCTCAGCTTGGAGCGCGGGCGGAGGCGCAGACATCGCCCCCATTATGGTGTTACAAGTGTCATTGCTGACACGTTATGTGTCCATTGCCATCGAGGAGTCGAGGGGAAGCGACTTCTCGATGGTGTGAGGAATAAAGAACACTGTGTCGCGAAAGCAGATGTACGAGGTAGAGTTTGACAATTCTCGCTCTTCCCCTATCTTTCTCATGTTATATTCACCATGGAGCTCTTCTTTTTATTTTGCGTGCACTCCGAGCATAGTCGGGCTGCTTGCCAACTGGCACATGACTTGTCCGACGAGGCGAGCCCATCGATGCTCTCAATTAAGTGCGAGACCTTGGTTGACTCGTCTAATGCTGTTATGCGTTCTACGAAGCTAATAGGAATTGATTCTCACCAGTGCTGGAATTAGCTGCCTTAACCGCCGTATGCACTCATTCGGAAATCATTATCTTGCTTGTAGATAAGTCAATTTCTTTCGACTGTAACTTATAGATCTACCGAAATTTTAGTTTTTACTTTCCCCATTTTCGCATCGCCCACATGCAGATCACCTACATATCACACAGGCTTCGACACACAGTGTTGTGGTTGCTGATTAGACTTTGATTGTAATGCGCTCCAAAACAAACGATCTATGGGATCGAAACATGAAAAAATCAAAAACCTTTGTTTTGGATTGGGTTGAACTGTGTTGTGGTGAAGCGGCACGAGTTTTTGATTACCGTTACGGCCCTTATATTTCTTATATTTATTTTATACCTATTATTATTTATTATTGCATTATTTTATTATTGTTTTGTTGTTATCTTATTATTAGTATTTTTATTATTTTATTATTTATTTTCCTATGTTAATTATAGAAGGGCGGAGGTGGTGTAGTAGCAAGTGGTGCACTATCTTACACGCGCGGTCAGGGGTTCGAATCCCGATTAGATGCCCGCTTAGGCCAGCCGAGCCTTCTATCCCTCCGGCGTCGGTTAATTAGTATCAGACTCGTCTGGGAGGATAAAATCACTGACCGGTACATCGTCTGGCCACCGCAATTCATTGTATAGGCCGCATACGCACTCATTACCCACTATGATTCTTAGTGGAAGTTCAGTGCGAGGGCGCATCCCCCAGACCGGATTGATTAACAACTGAAACTTTATTCTTTATCCTTGCTTTTATGTTAACTGTGGTCATTTTTATCGGTCTTAACTCTGTTTATTGTTATGTGTTGTTTTCTCAATCATTTACTTTTTCTCACTTATTCGTTTACCTAATCTGACTGATGCCTCCACTACTATTCGTCTATGTTTTACAACTTTTCTTCGGTGAGACACGCCACACTCTTACTACAGCACACCACAAGGTTCCCTGGCCATCGATCGCTGGTCAAAATCATCTCTCAACTTCAACTTGGGAACGCTCTTCTTTGGTTATCACCATATATCGTTCTTGCTTCGCTGCCTCCTTTTGCTTCAACTTCTATCATTGTTATCAAATCTATTGTACATCATTGTTATCAAATCTATTGTTCGTTCCCTCTATTGCGCAATTTGTTTGATACGGAATCAACAAGTAAATGAGTTTTGGCATGAGTATGAATTGCTTCTACGAGTTTATGTCCTGAGCAAGCATCTGGATGTCAGGATTGCCACGAGGTATTTCTGCAAGTAGTTTTGTCCACCCTCAAAATACAAATGTTACTGTTAAATAATCCCTTATGAAACATAATTCATCTTTTTCCGTTGCAGGTCTAGTTCTTCTGGTGTTGCAGTTGCACTGCAGTTTCTCTAGCTGGTGCTCTTTAGAGTTTAATAGCGAATTAGCAGAAATTTCATTTGCAGGGAAAGTGTTCACTTGCCTAGTTAAGACTCAATTTTAATTCCATAGGATGCTTCATACGTGCTTTTGATGCCCGACAACTCATTTTGTAGAGTTTTCGAGTCAATCTCTAAGATACCGTCGGAGTGGAACACGTCGCCTGGCGACGTAAGAGGACGTGGATGTGTTGAAGTTCGAATAACGACGGCAATTTAGTTATTTCCTTCCTTCGGAGGAGCTATTGAATCTATTTCTGAAAATGTAGTTTTTCTTTGAAGAATGTTCCTACTTGTATGAAACTCTATCCAATAGTCTTTCAAACCCTCTTTGCCGTGTCAAAAATGTAACTGTGTTTTACTCGTGTTATGATTTCGCATCCCGCATCCATTGCTCACAAGATGGGTTAAACGACGCGTTTCCTGTATGCGAATTTCTTTCTCCTGCTTATCCCTTTGAACTACCTTCGTAACCCCTCTGAGCGAGGACGCTGTTAATGTACATCATAATTGCTCATAAGAGCAACTTCATATATGAAAAGTCGGCCTAGATATTTTTAAACCTATCAAACTTCAATGAACAGTGCAGAAAAAAGTTATTTTTTCGAGATCTTGAATATTTGGAGGCAACACATTGTTCATCTCCAAATATGTTATCGTTCAACTATGGCTACTAGAATGACTTGGGTAATGAACATGTCAAGCCCAGAATTTTTCTGTATATTAGCAATATAATAAAATTAGCACAATCTTAGCGTTTATGGTGGAGCCGCAGTCAAGTGAAAAATAAAAAAGAGCCGTTAGTTCATTACGCTTAGCAGTTCCCTATGCGCTTGCATTCATTAGAGCATCCAGTTTCCCTCTGGGATTCTTTGTACTTTGTCCTAGAAATAATCCGGCTTTTGAAGGCAATCGGTCCATTATGCTTTCCTAGTTGTCTAATCCATTTGCCATCTTGTTATTTGCAGTTTACTAGGACCATTTAGTTTATAGAATTTATCCATTCGTCTCGATTAACCAGTACCTTTTCTCTACATATTTAATGCATATGTATTAGGTGTAATGAACTTTCGGGCTTAGCTAAAATTTAGCAGAGTAGATTCATTTCATGTTCAAAACAATCCGTTCCGAGTGACTCAACCTGGTGCCTGGTGTTTCTCCATGTTTTGTTTTTAATTTTGCACGATACTTTTCCATACCGGATTAGATAACGTGACAAGGGCAAATGGGTCGGCATGAGTCTAAGATCGGTTTGCCTTCTTCAGTCTCTTTATGAGAA